CGCTTTTCCAACTGCAGCAAGATCTCCATCGGGAAAACTCTGAAGCTGAAGGCCCCCGTTTGCTTCCGCGAGAGGAACAGCAAGGTCTGCGGGAACTCGCGGGTGGAGGAGGGAGAGGACTGCGACCCCGGGCTGCTTCACCTGCAGCACGACCCCTGCTGCACCAGCGAATGCAAGTTCAGGCCCCGGGTCCAGTGCAGGTACTGGGAAGGCCGTTTTAACACCCCTTTTTGGGGCCCTAAGCAAAATGTGACTAACCTAGTTATCAGTGGTCATCTCCCTTCACATTCTGATGGGCTGATCAGATGGGGGGGGCACAGGGGGCTGCTTAGTTCACATTGTTTACCCTGAGCCAGTCCTGATCTCAGCATATCGCCTTATTCTAAAGCACGGAAACTTCTCTTCTTGTGAATCCAGTGACCGGAACAGCCCCTGTTGCAGAAACTGCACCTTCGAGAAAGCAGGCAAAGTCTGCCAGGAGTCCATCAGTGCCACCTGTAAGGGGGAATCCAAGTGTACAGGTAGGTGCAGCGGCTGGGCGATTGTGAGGACTGGAGCAGGCCGGGCTGGTCCAAGAGACACCACAAGAAATGTATGAGAACCTTAGTCCTGTTAAAACCGTCCTTCCTAGCCCGGTCCCAGGAAATCCCCATGCTGTCCACATCTTTGCTCCATCCCAGCTTCCAACACGCCTGTATAAGATACTCGATGTCTGTGATTGGTCGATTTGCTATTGATTGTTTGGTTCAGGTGCTGGGACCTGGGAGAGAGCAAACATGTGGACTGTTTGGGGGGAGAGGGTTTAAGGACAAGGACAAAAAAGACGTAACAAAATGACTTTACAGGGCTGCGGTATTTAAGGATAAGCGGATACAGAAAATGGATGGGCGACAGTGTTTTGGCCAGAGATTTGGGTCGATACCACTCGTCGACTTAGTCACTCACCTCTTCCCCCATATGCTGTTGGCGCGTCTCCCAGGTAACAGCAGTCTGTGCCCACCTCCTGTCAACGCCCGCGACGACACCATCTGCGTGGACAGTGGCACATGCCGTGGAGGAGAATGCATCCCGTTCTGTGTGGCCAGCGAGAACCTCCTGCCCTGCGCCTGCAATGGTTAGTGTCACCTGGGCATCACTGCGGAATCGAGACTGCTTCCAGGGCTTTCGTTTTTGTTTTGTTTTGTTTTGTGTTTTGTTTTGTGTTTTGTTTTTTGTTTTGTTTTGTTTTGTTTTGTTTCGGCTTTGCAGGTTTAGATGCTGGGCCTGTGATTGGAAGGTCACCGATTGAAATCCCAGGGTCTGCAGAGTGAACACGGCCCTTTACTGCCAATTGCTCCATGGATTGGCTGACCCTAATTTCTCAGTGGCTTTGGACAAATGCGTCCGCTAAATTAATGTATCTTGATCTATTTTTATAGAGACGAACAACTCATGTAAGGTGTGCTGTCGGGACAAGGACGGCATCTGCGCCCCTTTCGAGAAGAACGGGAAATATCTGTACCTGCGGAAGGGCAAACCTTGCACCGTGGGCTTCTGTGATGAAGGCGTGAGTATCTGCGCTTCATCTCTCGGGCTGGGCTGGGGGGGGGATGGGGGTGGGAGGGGGAGATCCCTGTTCACGTGGCTGCTCTTTGCTGTCACTGCAGGGGAAGTGCATGAAGCAGGTCCAGGATGTCATCGAACGTCTATGGGACTTCATCGACAAGCTGGACATCAACACTTTCGGTGAGCAGCATCACTGCAGAATATCCACTAGTTCATTAAGTACTAGAAGATTGTTTTATATACAGAATATATAGGAAACTTTCTATAGATGATTTTCATGTAGTATTATCACTTCTTACAACTTAAAAACAGCATAATAAGCTGTCTGCACGTTATCGCATTTTGTAGTTGCGATCAGACCTACTGCACAGGTGCAGCCTACAGTCGTGCTGCATGACGACGTGTCAGTCGATGATTGGCCGCATATACAACGGTGGTCCCATAAGATTATAACGGAGCTGAAAAATTCCCATCACCTTGCGACATCTTAGCCGTCGTGAGGTTATAGTGCAGCATGATACTCGCGCATTTGCAGTGATGCTGGTCTGAACAGACCCACTGCACTGCCAGTCGTATGACAGTATAGCACATACAGCACACTATACATGATGAAGATGATAACCATGTTTGTGTATGTACTACATGCATTTTTATCGTTATTTAGGCTACACTATATGGCCTATGTGTGTAGTAGGCTGTACCATCTAGGTTTGTGTAACTACAATCACTAAATGTTGCCCATTGATTTTTTTAGTCCAGTGGTGTGTTTTACTGGAGCCGTTTAGCTTAAGCGCTGTGCATCACAGCTCCCCCGGTCTCCCGCAGGGAAATTCCTGGCGGACAACATCGTGGGCTCGGTTGTGGTGTTCTCCCTCATCTTCTGGATCCCCCTTAGCATCCTAGTCCACTGCGTGGTAGGTGGTCCACAGGGCGCCTGCTCGTGTGTCCATGACAGGGTTGGGGGTGTTATGGGGGCCACATCTGACTGTCAAGTGATCTATGTTTCAGGACAAAAGCCTTGACAAGGAGTACGAGGAGAACAACAAGTCGCTCTTCTACCCCAGCGTGAGTATCGTCTCTTTGCCCCCGCTTGCTTAAATCCCCCCTCCTTCATTGTGGTTGGGGGGGGGTCCAGATTGCTCTTCTGTGGACTTAGTGATACCTCTGAGTAGCTCAGATGGGGCGGGGAGGTGGGTTATGATTTTAAGTGCAGCTTAAGGCTCAGAAATGATGACCTGTCCATTACTGTCTACTTTGGCCTCCACGGAGCTGCAGCAGATCCTGGAGGTGTGTAGTAGAACTCTGTCGACAGGTGAGTCGGCCGTGTAGCATCCAGTGTGTAACGCAGCGTGTCGATGGATCGTGGGAGTGCACCGTGGTGAGCTTGTGTGCCTGCTTGTCACGGCCGCTTCTGATTGGCTGTCGTTCACCACCTGCCCGCCCCTCCCCCGCATCTTTACAGAACCCAGAGATGCTGAGCAGCCTGGAGTCGGCCTCCGTACGCATCCTGAAGCCGCCGCCTCCCGTGATCGCCACGTCCCGCCTCCAGCCCGCCCACCAGGCCTCGGCCCCAAGCGCACTGGCCCCAAGCTCGAGCTCGGCCCCGGGCCCCGGCCCTGCCCAGGTCGCCGTCGGGCCCCGGCTGGAGCCGCCGCGAATGGCCACCATCCAGGAGGACCCCAGCAGCGACTCGCACCTGGACGAGGACATGCTGGAGGAGGACTTCCAACCCAGCGGGCCCACAAAGTCCTACGAGGACCTGACGGAGCAGCAGCCGGCCCCGTCGCGCAGTGACAAGGCTCAGGTGTTCAGGCTCAAGAGGCAGCAGCGTGTCGACAGCAAGGAAACCGAGTGCTGAGCCCCCAGCCCCAGCATTGGGGGTGGGGCAGGGAAAGGGGTGTGGTCAGAAGATGGGTGGGGCTTAGAGGGGCAGGGCGGGACCTGCAAACATGGCAGAATTAAACACGAGTGAGGGTAACTGCCAGCCACATTTCATGTGATAATGATTAGTTAATTAGTTAATCTTGTTTTTTTTTCCTAAGGAAATGTGTTGTGATGCCAAGGACACAGTCAGGGCCCTAACCCTGAGGTGCCTTTACTCTTCCAGCTGCCGCTTGTCTTGAGTGCGCTCGCATGGTCACCATGGCAACGTGCCAGTTTTGGCGCTGGTTCCGCAAGGCGGCTTCTGCGGATCGCCCTTCGGTGGAGCCGCTGACAGCCGTGTTCAGGCTTTTAGAGACGCGTTTGGCCTCTTTGTTTATCTTTGCTCTCTAGCCCATGTTCTTAATGTTTCTCTCTCTTTTTTTTTTTCTGGACAAGTCGGTAGGTTAACGAGTTAGTAGTTACTTGTTTAGAAGATCAGGACTGGAGAGTGAGACCCCGTTTTCCTGAATTATGTTCTATTACATCCCCCACCCCTCCCCCCCCCCGTCAGAAGTCATTTTTAGAATAGTTGCCTAAATGCTCGTGATTCGGTTGTGGTTCCTATCATCCTGTGAACGCTTTTTCGCCTGGTTTTTCCCCCAGTGCGCGTGTGTCTGTTACTGGGCCAAGGTAGCGGGTTGAGCGTTGTATTTGGTGTCATCGACGCAGGTCACACTCTCGTGCTCGTGACATGGTCTGTCGCCAGACAGGAGGTCTGTGCTTTGGTCCCTCATGAAGATGACAGCGGTGACCCGGCTCTGCATTAATGTGGGTCTGGGGGAAGGGTGGAGGATTTCTGCATGACGTCAGGCCCCCACAGAGAAGCCTTCCACTGCCACTGGAACGAGCCGCTTTTGAAACCGGTTTGAACTGGGATATCTACTAGAATTAGTGGTTTATATAATCTGTGAGGTATTGCTGGAGAAGTGTTACTGCAAGAACATGTGTATGTCTGTCTATCATACTGGCAGTAATCTGCACAATTAAATGAAAAGGAACTTTTTTTGGTAGCCTGATGCTGATAATGACAACAAAATGACAAATTAGCTCGTGTTTAATTTCTCAGTAGCAGCATTTTCTCTGCGTTAATCTTTCCAGCAAAAATTGAATCCATTTTTGGTTTGCCAAGCTACTTTTGTGGTAATGTGAATAACTTATTTATTTAGCCAGACTGCCTTTGTGTAATAATGTCACTGTCTTCCTGTGTTCCCTTTAATACTGTTAATGCTAACGCCGTCTCGCTGGCAGTCTGCAGTAAGTGCCACCTGTCACTCGCTGTCACCTGTGACTGTTAATCGTGGCCTTTGTAGAAATGTCTTTAATGGAAACACACGTTTTATCCAGCTGTTCTGGACAATCCTTAATGACTTCGGTCGACTTTCATCAGGATGTCTAGCACTAGAAGTGGGGAAGCCGTGGTTGGGAGCGGTCTGCAGGACAGTGGCTCGAGCAGGACACCCTCCTGATTCCTGAGTTTGGTGTGTTTGCCTGCGTCCAGCAGAGGCACCACGGTCACAAAGCACTTCAGGGTCTTTCATGTGACTCCTTACCTGTATGGCGCTGTATTGTATTCAAGAAAAGAGCCTCGAGATAAAATGTTTGTATTCAGTCTTTGTCTATTTTCAGTTTTTCACTCGAGTGGCTTTCTTAGTGTTCGCTTTTTGTACTTTTTTAAAAATATACTCCCCTTTCTTCCCATTGCTTCTAGCCTTTTATTCCCCCTGTTTTCTGTGTTGTACATCCTGCTGCATTTTATGGCTGTTTCACTTCTCATTTTAACTCTTTACTGTGTAGCGCATTGCATATGAGAAATGCATGTAAAATAAAAGGTATTCGGACGATACAGAAATATTCTGAAGCTACAGACCACAAGCACTATTACAAGCCTTTATTTATAAAAAAAACAAAAAAAAAAAAAAACCAGTATGTTTAGCAGGGCGGCAATGGACAGCACTGTCGTCTCACACCTCTGGGACCAGGGTTCAAATCCCTGGCAGGCTCCAGTGTGTGGAGATTGCATGTTTTCCCCATGTGGTCCAGTTTCTCCTCCCCCACAGTCCAAAAACGTGTGTGGCCCCGTCCACATCCACCACATCTGCCCATAGCCTCTGGAACAGGCTCCAGTGCTAACCAAGACAAGCAGTTACAGAGGACAATGTGGTGGGTGGATTGTGTTCACAGCAGGATGTATTCAGCAATCATTTCAAAACACTGCTGTTTCACAGAATCATTGGCTGGCATTACTCAGGAGGCTGGTTTCTGGGCTGTCAGTGTCCACATCTCCCCAGTAAGGAAGAATCATGGGTAGGTATGCAGTCCGCTTTTCCAGGAGAGGCCAGAGGTGCTCGGCTACAAACTGGTTTCCTTTGGTGGAGAGGTGCAGCCCATCAGAGAGGTAGGAGGAGAAGTCCTGGGGGGGGCAGCACAGGGCTCACAGTAGCTCTATGAAGCAAAAGGAGTGCCAGGTGGTGACTGTCAGTCCTGAAGGGGCTTACCTGTCCATCCTTCTGCATGAGCGTCCAGAGGTCCAGCACCTCGGCCCCACTTTGCCAGCCAGCCTGGACACAGGCTTGGGCATACTGCCCGACCACAGAGTTATGCCGGTTCAGGGGAAAGCCTGCAGAGAGATCAGCACAGAGATGGAAGCCCTAAACAACACAACCTTTTTATATGGAGACAAAGGGCCTTGCTCTTATTGTAAAACGAGCGTGAGAGCAGCAAGACGTATAATAACGACACACAACCCCATGTTTTCCTATGAACCATTAGGGAGGCTAATGCTGGGCTTGAACCCATGACCTTCTGATCACAAGCACAGAGACTTAGCCCAGTAAGCCACACAAGCCAGTACTGATACTCCACAGCTCAGTCTCCTAGTTTAGCTGAAACGGCAGCGGTGCATAACTAATGGTGAGGAAGGACTCAGAGATCCCAGGGAGGGAGGGGCTTAGAGGCAGATAGACACAGTAGGAAGGCATGCAGATTAAGGCCGTTTTTCCACCGCACCAGGTACCGTACTTTCGGTATTTTTGGTACTTCCATGAAGTGCCGAAAGTTTGGTACTTCTTTCATGTCGGTTTTCCATTGGCGTAAAAAATGGTACCGGTGCCAAATGACATCATCTGTGACCGCCCCTGACTGACAGCCCAAAATTAAAACTAACAGTTGAGGCTGGAAAATGCGATTTATTGTTATGTCAGCTTCTATCACAGTATAAGATTTAGTAAAATCCAAATCATGCTGCCATCAATTACGTTTACGTAGGTACACTTACTTTGGCTAAGCTGATCAAAGCAGTAAGAATTAGCTTACTGCTAATTCAGTCTTTTGAAAGCAAACAAATTATTTAATTATGTTTTTTGATTTTGAAGCGGCATTGTTTGGTGTTTCGCGTGTGCCCCATTTCTTTCAAGCGGCTTGGTATTACGGTGTTCCCGGCAATTCAGTTTCTCTATGTTTCTCCTGTCTATCAGGAAATAATGTTTCCCCTAATATTAAAGCAAAGAGTTATGTGAAATGTCTGAAAATCACTCGGGTACATTATTACATGTGAATACAGTAGATCGTCACGCATAATATAGCCTAGTCTTATAAGCAATAGGCTACTATACCGTTTTCATCAAGAAATATCTCTATCGAGCGAAATAAGTAATTTCATTTATTATCTGTGAAGACAAAAAACATAGAAAAGGCATGTGATGTTAAATACAGTCACTGATGATGTCATTTGGCGCCGGTGCCATTTTTTACGGCAGTGGAAAACCGACAGGAAAAAAGTACCAAACTTTCAGCACTTTATGGAAGTACCGAAAGTACGGTACCTGGTGCGCTGGAAAAACGCCCCTAAAAGATGGGGGAGGAGGGCCAGACTCTATACAAAAGAAGACCTTTTGGGGAGGGGGT